TTAATACCAGAGAGGAACTGAGAGTGCTCACGGCCCAGGTTTCGGTGTCCCCAATTCGATGGTGCTGCCAAAGCTAAATTTTGCAGGAATCTGACACGTTCAGTTCAACGTTTAGCATTTACCAGAACCAACGAACAGAGACCTACCCTGTTCAGTTCAACGTTAGCATTTACCAAAACCAATGGACAGAGATCTGCCCTGTCCGGTTCAACGTTTAGCGTTTACAAGAACCAACTGAATAGAGATCTGCCCTATCCAGTTCAACGTTTAACATGTACTTAGAATAGAACGAAAGAATCATTTCAACGCTAGAAAATACGTAATGAAGACGTTTGCAAGCGTATTGTTAATAATTATCAGTATTTCTTAGGAGAATGTTTATATAAGTGAGCTTCGAATTTAATGAGAAACGGGGTTATGGAAATAAAGACTGGATTTAATTATTTTCAAATTAAGAGAGAAACAAATTTATTACGACCTGAAAGATCCCTCCCGTTCCCTGTATCCAGAAATTTATATTACTCTATATGCCATCATATTATGATCGTCCCGTTGTTCTTCGTGCATTCGCCTGTAATTCCGTTAATTTAAACTCGAATTTGCGGTATACACATCCACCGGTGTTTATGTAATTGTTGGAGTGGTTTATTACTTTTCGCAACGGCTTGGCCGACTATCCGAACGTACACTGTGTCTTATGGTCCGTCATGAGTCGTATGAAAATATTAATGTTAAATCTGTTAACCGTTAATGTCGAAAAAATATTTTAATGGAAACGAACTTCTTTTACTAATGACTCCATTTATTTTATTGTATAAAATACTTGTCGGGCAGAATCCCTAAGAATGACTATTTCTTCAATCGTTAATAACGATTCTGTTAGTCTAACAGTAGCTTCTTGTGATATGGAGATGTGTGCATGATTTCACACTCATATCTCCATAGTTGTTTCAGAAATATTTGATTCCTTTCCGTAAAATCCGAGTTTGGAATTTGTTCACGATAATAAATCTGTTCATAGGTATCGTTAATTCAATACATATAAGTTCTCAAGGAATTCTAGTATCAGGCTAGATGAAGAACAATGTGATTTATTCATATGAAACACCTTGAATAACGCATTTAATCATTCTTTTGTATAGCCAGAGAGGATATTTTCTCTCTGGTATAGCTGAATCGAACGTAACGAAGCCGGGCGTAATTCTCTTCACAACATGGAAAAAGAGTGCAATAAATGTGTATTTTCAAAACAAATAAATTACATTTAACAATTGGGATAAAAAGCGTTTTATTAGGGTATCCCATAAGTTTCTTCCTTTTTTTTGATGCGAAATGAATACACGGTATTTGTTGTTTAATGTTGATTTATTATGTTATATATGAACCGTTCTGTTCTATAACCTTCCTCCATCTCTCAGGAAGCCTCATTATTCCCTCTTTCTAAAATTGTTGAGGCTTACTTTCAAAATATTCATCTAGGTGCGTTTTTATTTCGCTTATGGATTTGAAAGATTTGAGAGAATTTTTTAAAGAGAGGAACAAGTAATAATCGGATGGTGGTGCAAGGTCTGGAGAGTATGGAGGGTGAGGTAGAAAGTTCCAATCAAACTATAATAATTTTTGCCTTACGGCTAACGCAACATGCGGTCTTGCGTTGTCGTGATGGAATACGACACCTCGTCGGTTCACCAATTCTGGCCGTTTTTCTGCTATAGCGGCTTTTCGTTGATCCAGTTTATTGCAATATTTGTCAGCATTGATCGTATCACCTTGCGGAAGGAGCTCGTAGTACACTACACCCTTCCAGTCCCACCAAATGCACAGAAAAAGCTTCTTCGGATGAAGCCCAGGCTTCGCAACAGTTGAAGGTCTATTTTCTGTAGACCAAGTGCGTTTTCGATGCACATTTTAATACAAAATGCAGGTCTCGTTTCCAGTGACAAGACTCTTTAAGAACGGATTTCTTTCGTATCGCTGAAGAAGCAAATCGCACTTAGAGATGCGGT